AAAAACAAAACAACGACAACCAAAAACAAAACAAACAAACAACACAACCAACAACAAACAACAACAACAAAAATCAACACCCCAATACATAGACAAATCCACAAGCTCATATCGCTACCCTATCATTACAAAGTTCTATATCTGTTCTGTACTTTCTTTTTCAGTTAGTTTTAGTAGAGGTTTTACGGCGCTCGCAACTGCATTAGGTCATATGAGCACCAGAAGATTAGAGGAGTCACAAGAGAGTAACAAACATAAAAAAAGAAAAAGGGGAGATAAGGACGATAGCTGTTGATAGGAAAGAAGACGCAAACCACACCAGAGCACCCACCAACCACCCACTTACTTTCTTTTAAAGAATTTGAAGTTAAAAATTTTGAGTAACACAACTTGTCAAACTTTTTCGAATACACTTTATTGAATATCTTGATGACATTTCCGAACAATCTTACGATTTTGATAAAGCAGAGAGGTCATTTTGTACCCCCGGGGTTGTATTCTTCACATTTTAGAATATTTTTAGTGCGAAGATCTCTTTGACACTTTAAGTATTTCTTAAAAAATAATTTTGACAGACTGCTATGCAAAGCGTACAGATCGGATTAACGAGTAAATTTTTTCTTTGGAAAGTGGTGGCATAGAGTTCCCCACGTCGTATGGATACGATAGTAAAACACGACGTACGGATAGGATTAATTTCTGAACTCATGTGAAACTCAAAACGGCCAAAACATTCAGATAGAACTTTGCAATTCTAAGGTGGTGATATGCAAATATACACACAGACATACACTTACTCAAACTTAGGCCGGTCCCAGAGTGGCTCTGTAGTTCTGACCTGTAGCTCGCCTGGCTCGCACCGTGTAAATGAATGTATACATTATCGTGTGCTAAAGCAACGTAGCTGTATCGTCTGTTTTTTTGTCAGCAGAGCTGCGTAATGCGCCAGACGTGCTATTCAACAGTGTTGTAAAAATGGCGGACATGTGTCGCCTCGTTTCGTATTTATTTTCGATTGAAACTCTTCACAGATCATCAAAATCAACAAGAAGTAAGTATTATTAGGTGTTTTACTATTAAATATTGATGCTAGTATCAACACTTGGCCTCAAAATCACCCAGAAGTGCACTCTATCATACTTTGAAATTTCGAATCGAGAGGTTGACCTAGTTTCGATTGTTGTCGTAGGCCTAGGCCGAGGCAGGCCTTGGCCTAGATCTAGGTGTGCTTCTCTAGATTCCAGAAAGGGGAGGGGGGGGGAGCTGCACTTGGCACATAACGTAAAGAAGAGTTGTCCCGTCTTGGTATAATTGGTTTTGGATTACACAGTACCTAAATATAGCAAGGCAGACCCGTCAGTTGCACACCTACCCACATCAACCCACAATGCGGCTGTGCTGACACACAGCGAGTGTGGCTCGTGCTCGCTGAGACACAGGCTCCAACGCACAGTGCGACTGTGCTGACTCGCAGACGGCGTGCGCCAGGCGAGCTACAGGTCAGACCTACAGAGCCACTCTGGGACCGGTCTTACAGTCACAAAGTCAC